TGTGCAGACAGTCCAAATGATGTCATTTGGGATGTAGCAACTGCACAAACACAGCCATTGTTCCAAATTTGATATCCATGTGGGTCTGGGTGCATGTCCCTGAGCTCTGTGTTTTGGAGTAGTACACCCACACGGATGTCAGATTGGGAGCAGCAGCTGTGCCGTGCAGTCGCTGTATCCCAATTGACATGAATAGGACTGCCTGCACAGGGATGCATGGAACACCTGTGCATTCCTGTGCAGGTAAACATGGCCCTCCATGAGCATACACTTTAGTATGCCCCATGTGAACAAGGCCTTAGCAGCAATTTAGCAGGAAGTTTGTGAGTTATGTTGTGTTTGTGTGTACTATTAACAATATTAGTGTAGTTTTAGTGAAAATAGTGATTTGATGAACATTTTCATAACTATTAAGGGGCCTAAAAAAGTCAGCACTTTTTTTTTTTTATTCTACAGGTCATTTGCTTTCAGAAAGTATATGGTTTGGGGGGGGGGGGGGGCTTTTTACAAAATTCTGAAAGCTGTAAGTAAAAAACTGTAACCTCTAGATTTTTTTTTGAGCAGATTGTTTTCATCTACAGTTTTGGTCACCTTCAGTTTTCAGCATTTCACAAAAAAAAGCATAATTTAAAATTTACAATATTTGTTATGTACTAACTCAATACAGTTTTAGCTTTTATATTTGGTTGTATTTTAGCAGGAATTTTGTAAATTTTGACATGCATGTATTCAATTATAATGATTTTAGTGTACTTTTGGTTAAAATAGCGATTTGATAAACATTGCAAATATCTTGGGGTCTAAAAAATCTGTAGCACATTTTTTTGTTCTATATGTCATGTGTTTTCAGAAAAGATATGTTTTTTTTGGTGGGGGGAGGTCTTTTACAAATCCTGAAAGCTGTAAATAAAAATAACCTCAGATATTTATAATTATTTTGTTTTTATTTACTGTTTTGGGCTCCTTCAGTTTTCACCATTTCAGAAAAAAGACTAATTTAAAATGTACAAATGTATATTTTTTTTAACTCAATACAGTTTTTATCCTTTATATTTAGTAGGAATTTAGCAGGAATTTTATACATTTTGCCATGTATGTATCCAATAATAATGGTTTTAGTGTATTGTTTTGATAAACACTTGCGCAAATATCATAGGGCCTAAAAAATCAGCAGCTCTGTCCTTTTTATTCTACTGGTCCTATGCTTTCAGAAAATGTATGGTCTGGGGGTCTCTTTTACTAACTAAAGGAAAAATAAAAAAGCAATGAAAAAATTGTAAAAATGGCCTAGCCACCTGGGTTTAAAGTGGAGCGCAGGGCCTGGCAGCCAAAATGTTATCACTTAGGAAGAGTTTTGAGTTCCTTGCAATATCACGGACACATGCAATTTTGTGGTATGTTTGGTATCCGTTTACTCAGTGCAACCTCATCTTTTATCAAACAAATGGATATTATATTGTGTGTATTTGCACTACAATATATTTTATTATATTTTTTCCTAAAAATTTGCGTTTGAAAAACAGCTGTGCAAATATTGTGCCACATAAAAAATTACAGCTATTATCTTTTTATTCTACAAAGTCTATATTTTCAGGAAATATACTGTATAATTTTCTGGAGGTTTAGGTAATTTTATGGCCAAAAATGACGATTTTTACGTGTGCAAAGACCAGCAAGATTCACTATATTGCCAAAAGTATTGGGACGCCTGCCACGACACCCACATAAACTTTAATGGCTTCCCAGTCTTAGTCCATAGTGTTCAATACTGAGTTGGTCCACCCTTTTGCAGCTATAACAGCTTCAACTCTTCTGGGAAGGCTGTCCACAAGGTTTAGGAGGGTGTCTATGGGAAGGGTTCACCATTCTTCCTTAAGCACATTTGTGAGGTCAGGCACTGATGTTGGACAAGAAGGCCTGGCTTGCAGTCTCCACTCTAATTCATCCCAAAGATGGTCTGTCGAGTTGATGTCAGGACTGTCAGGTTCATCCACCCCAAACTCGCTCATCCATGTCTTTATGGACCTTGCTTTGTGCACTGGTGCTCAGTCATGTTGGAACAGGAAGGGGCCATCCCCAAACTGTTCTCACAAAGTTGGGAGCATAACATTGTCCAAAATGTCTTGGTATGCTGATGCCTTAAGATTTCCCATCACTGGAACCAGGGGGCCAAGCCCAACCCCTGAAAAAAAAAACCCACATCATCGAATTGCCTGACATAGAAGCGTGATTGGTCACTCCAGAGAACACGTCTCCACTGCTCTAGAGTCCAGTGGCGGTGTGCTTTAAACCATTGCATCCAACGCTTTGCATTTCACTTGGTGATACAAGGCTTGGATGCAGCTGCTCAGCCGTGGAAACCCATTCCATGAAGCTCTCTATGCACTGTTGTGCTATTCTGAAGGCCACACAAAGCTTGGAGGTCTTTAGCTATTGACTCTTTAGACAGTTGACAACATCTGCACACTGTGCACTTCAGCATGTGTTCTGTCATTTTATGTGGCCTACCACTTTGTGGCTGAGCTGCTGTTGTTCCCAGTTGCTTCCACTTTGTTATAATACCACTAACAGTTGACAGTGGAATATTTAGTAACAAGGAAATGTCAGGGATGGACTTATTGCACAGGTGGCAACCTATCATGGTACTATGCTTGAATTCACTGAGCTCCTGAGAGCAACCCATTCTTTCACAAATGTTTGTAGAAGCAGTCTGCATGCCTAGGTGCTTGACTTTATACACCTGTGGCCATGGAGGTGATGGGAACACCTGAATCCAATTATTTAGAGGGGTGTCCCAAAACGTTTGGCAATATAGTAAATATAGAAGCAGTGGGGATAACAAAGCAGCAGACTGCTGTGCTATGATTGAGTGGAGCTGCTGTTAAGTGTTTCAAAATGAACAAGAAACATTGTAGGCATTCCAATGGTTACTTTTAGCAGCACTAGGGTCATTGGTTCCAATCCCAACCATGCACAACCTGTCTGACGTTTGCATGTGGTGTTTGTGTGGGTTTCTTGTGGGTACTTCAGTTTCACACACTTCAAAGACATGATGGTAGGTTTATGTGTGTGTATATATATATATATATATATATATATATATATATATATATATATAATCATGATAGAAATGTACTGTAGATGATTCATTGCAAAAATGAAAATAAGTATAAACTCTAATACCATGTGAAGACCATTTTACAAGTTGGCACCAACTTTCAGCTCCTCATTAAGTCTTCATGGGACTAATTTGTGTGAATGTCCAGTAGATCTCTTGGTGGTATAACCTGTTGAATGTTTCAGTCTCAGGCATGTCTTTAGATATGGATTCGATTAACCAGACCTTCAGACCTACTGGAGACCCCCATGTTTATGGGAAAAATGTCTGAGGAGGCTACCTGCAAGATTACCTTTCTCTATGAGACTGCAGTGTTCCCCAAACCCCTTCCTTGGTGTTCTGATTACTCCTCAGTCATACAGTAAACCGCATTGGCAAAACATGCAATACATAAAAAAGTCAGTGGAGCAATTGTGGAGCAGAAAAAAGTTGGATATGTGAAACACTTTGCCTTTTGGTGTCTGTAAAACGTTTTTGCTCATGCTGTATGTACTTGAATGTGACGCACGGTCTTTTCTACACTGATACATGCTGACAAGGTTGCTAAAACAAAAATATATATATATTTTGTATGTTTAGACTCTGGCAAAGGTGGATCTCAACTTGCTCAGTGCTATTTTAGTTTTTTGTTAGGTGCTTTGTGATGCATAAAAACCTGGGTCTGTTAGCAAAAGTAGCCCCAAATTAGGGTTTTGTAATACTATGGGACAATGTTTCAAAATAATATCCCCCATTTATGTGTATGTACAGTACAATTAAATTGTGTAATGAACCTGTTTACAGAGGGAGCCTCTTTTTCTTTATTACTCCATCCTGATGCAGGAATAAGACATGTTTGATGTATGTTGTCTAACACATAGGGGTTTTTCGCCTTATCAAGGAGGATATCACTCTGAGTGGTGTAATCCTTATCACAAGTACAGTTTTTCCTAAGTGTAGGTCATTGTTGTTGCAGTGCTTAACAAACGGCATTATCGAGGCATCTGAATCATCCAAAATGATGGTAATCTGTAATGTTCCTTCCATAAAACACTATATAAAGGATTGTTTTGCCAAACATAAAGGTTCTCCTAAAAACCCATAATTATGTTAGTGTTAATGGGCACAAAATGTGTGCATTGCTGACGTGAAGATAATTATTTTAAAAAATGTAGTAATAGTGTTCAAGACAGAATTATGTTCCCTTGAGCATAAACTTGGCTTGGTAAAATGTACCCCCAAGCCGCTCTCTCTGCTCACTTCCTCTTCTCAGACCACACGTTTACACACTTTTGTACCCCACTCTCTCTGCTATAGCCAACTCCCACCCTTCCTTCTGATCCCTTCTGTGCCCTTCTCCTCACACCAGAACCCCAGGGCAGGACCATTCTTCCATTACAATCCATAAGTCTGAGGTTGTGGATGGTAGTGGCCAAGTGGAGTGAGTACGGCCAGGCTAATGGCAAGGGACATATGTTTGGCTGCCAGGTGTAGCTCTGCATCAGGGGCAGATTGCTGAGTCGGAAATCGGGGTGCTTAGTAGGATGGGGCATATGGCCTTCTGCTCCCCCACCCCTTCCATCCCTGTACCAACTCTACACACAGCCTTGCATTTGTACCAGGCACTGCAATGTAGGTGGAGGCGGTGAGCTCAGAACTCAGGAAGTCGCTCCATCTCCTCTGCTCTTCACTGCATTGTCCCAACAGAGGTCAGGCTTTGTTGATGTACATTTGGTGGAGCAAGGGCTTGGTTGGACAGCTTTTCTCAACCAAGATGCCATGGCACCCCTATGGACCTCAACCTGCATTCCGCTTGATAAAGGCTGATTCAGAGAATAGTTGCATTCTTTTCTGGGGGAGAAATTAACTATATTCTGGTAACCACCTTCTTCTTCTCCTACAGTTTGAAGAATAACCACCTTACAGACAATTCCTCCATCTACCTGGTATCTGGAATAAGTCACAACCAGACATTGAGGACACTGAACCTGTCTGGGAACAATCTGGAGGGTCCTAATTTCAATATTCTGATGGCAGCTCTGATAACAAGCTGGATAGAGGAATTGGAGTGAGTATAACAGGACTGACCGAGACAATAATATTTAGGGAAAGTTTTATATCTAAACCATGTAAATAATATATAATGTATGGTAATGTCATCAAAATGTGTCTTTAGATATCAAATCTCAGACTCTAATTCTTGAATCTTATCCTGGTTGGGTCCATCACACCAAAATGATCTTTTCCTAAGGACTTATTACCTCCTTCACACCTACCATCTATATTTGAATGTCCTTCCAGCTAGTGCCTAGTGCTGAGAGAACATTTATCAACATTTATAAACAATTAAACTTTGCAGTTTCTGCACCCTCTGGGGATCTATCTAAACTCTATGGGGAAGCTGCAGACTGCTTTGGGGAGCTGGAAGATTTGATCAGTTACCACTCTGAGCAATTTACAGATCATATTCTGGGAATGCATAGCTGCAAATATTTCATAAAATATTTCCAGGGACACCTTTTTTTTTGCTGTCAATTGTAGATGGGAAATATATTTTAATTGGGGTTGTGGCTTTACAACAGACTTATCGTCAACCTAATGCCTTAAACTTTAAAGAGGAACTTCACTCTCTCAACCAACATGGACTATTATTAATCCTTATGCTGCTAGCATTAATAAATACATAGAAAAGTATATAATATTTACTTGTTAACTTTTTTTTTTTTTGTTTTGTATTCCTTCATGGTTTCCCTGCCTTGGCAAATGGAGTCCTACATCCCAGAAGTTTTCAGGAGGGGGGGTTCAACTCGGCCAATGCCTGAACTAAGGACAGGTGGATTCCTGGAAGTAACTGCTACATGAATCATCTGCCCTTACTCAAGATGATCACTGCCACAAATGTCAGGAGGTGTTTTTAACCACTTGCCCTGCTGAGGATTTACCCTCCTTCCTGACCAGGCTATTTTTTGCATTCTGGCACTGCATTACTTTAACTGACAATTGCACATGCAAGGCTACACCCAAATTAAATTTCCGTCCTTTTTTTTTCAATGAGTCGATATTTCTTTCGGTGGTATTTAATCGCCTGTGCGGTTTTTATTTTTTTTTCCGCTATAAAAAAAAAGGCCGACAATTTTGAGAAAACAACAATATTTTAGAATTTTTGCTATCAAACATGTCCAGTAAAACATTTTTAAAAATCTAATTTTGTCATAAATTTATGCCAAAATGTATTCCTCTACATATCTTTGCTAAAAAAAAATCCCAATACGTGTAAATGAATTGATTTACGCGAAAGTTAGAGCGTCTACAAATGGCAGGATTTAATGGGATTTTTTTCTTTTGTAATATATTTTTTACTAGTAATGATGATCAGCAGCTTATAGCTGGACTGTGGAGGGCATTCTGACACTGGGGGGAACTGACTTGGTGTCACTGACATCCCTAGGGACACCAATACAGTGATCTGTGCTAAAAAAGGCACTAACACTGTACTAATGGCACTGGGCAGGAAGGGGTTAACATGAGGGGTGAACAAAGGGTTAACTGTGTGCTGGGTGTGGTTTACTTTTGGGCTGCATCCATGTGCTTCTCTGTAAGCACACTACTTTGGATGGATGGCTGTGCTGTGCTACCTTCATTTTTTAAAGCACTGGGCAAACTTTTGGTGCTATATAAATCCTGTATAATAATAATAATAATATTGGTGTATCTACTCCTTTATATTAATCACTTTATAAAACTCCAGCAAATTAGTAAAATGTTATAAATGATTCCAATTCCATGCATATAGAGAATGGTTATATTTATTCCTGGGGGAAAATTAATTTTCTTCTGATAGCATGCTTCTCTTCTTCCACAGTTTGTCATTTATTCAGCTAAAAGACCGTTCCTGCCCCCACCTGACATCTGTAATAAGAAATAACCAGACACTGAGGACACTGAACCTATCCATAAATAATCTGGAGGGTCCTCATTTCAGTGATCTGATGGCATCTCTGAGAAGAAGCCGGATCGAGAAGTTAGAGTGAGTATAATAGGACTGAATGAGACCATAATATTCAGCACTTGAATGCCTGAACCAACTCCACCACATGAGTGTTGGGTCACAGAAGACCATATGGATCCTCTGCTTCTTACTTATTCATTCTCCCAGTAAACATCAGGTCATAGAGGGATACAAGAACAAAAAAGTGTTTCCTGTGTATTAAAATATGTTCCTTTTTATTAAACATAAAACAGCATCTTCAAAGGTACAATTGTCATTGGCATTAGCACAGCTATACAGAGCGGGATGCGACTCGTGGATTACTACTCACTACCTTGGATAAGTCAGGTTGCATGGGCCCTTCGATGAAGTCATTTTGACGTAACGCGTAGGCGGAGCACTACATGCTTCCCAGTACACAGAGCAGAGATCTTATCAAGCTGCAACCGGATCTGTCTGAGAAAGTGAGCTGTCAGCTGGACTGGGTAGTGAGTGGTGAGCCGAGGGTTTGTATCTTGCTCTGTATAGCTGTGCTAAAGCTGATGATTGTATTTTTGAAATTGCTGTTTTATGTTAAAAAAACAGAGACATATTTAGTACACAGAGAGCACTATTTTCTGTTCTTGTATTGTTCTATGGCCTGATGTTTATTGAGCGATTGAACAAGTTAGAAGGAGAAGAAACTGAGAGCCAATGCATAGCTGATCCTGGCTTTTAAAGGGAACAGTCATATTATGACCTTTTTAATTAAATTGTCTTTTATTAAAGTGAGAACCCATCTTTTATCCCTCTAACAGTGGTGGATATCTTGCAAGTATATTGAGATTCATATGGTACTTTGGGAATGAGAGTCCCCATATATTGTTGCAGCATGGACTGATTTATATATTTATGGACTGCTTTTGATATACACCCCTGTTTTTTTTTCATATGTACTGTATACTAAATACCATTTTGGAAAATTATTTGTATGAGCAATATATATAGTACGTATGAGTGTAGACGGGGATTTTGAGTTTAAGATTTTTAGCGTGACACATTGGGTGAATAATTTGTAGAAGTATTGTCAACTTTGGGTGCTGCAGCTATTTCTTTGTGGTTTATTGGTGAGCGCGAAGATGACTGATTTATGATCTCAGACTGTAGTCTCCAATAGTAGTTACTATATGTTTCATGTTCTTTATAGCTAAGTTGACATTTAAAGATATGACACACTACCTACCCTCTGTAGTATTAATTGTTGCTGCTTTCAGTTTCTTGGGCATCATTTGCTGAAAATGATCCTCCTTTGAGTACTGCTGTATGGCCATGCTGCTATCCCAAAAGGAATCGCTAGTCCTTGGGAACCACAATTCCTGCCTGTCCCTTTTACTTTGTAAGATCCTGGGAGATGTGTGCCTATCAGTCAACAAGTTGTTTATACTACTCCCTATAACTTCACACCTCAATATAGAGTTTGTATTGAAGTGAGGCTAACTTTTTAGTGTTTTGTACTATGGCTTATACTTTTTGTAGACCTAATATCTGGAGTTTACTTGGAGGGTTGATGCCTTCAATGTTGCACAGTCACCACAACAATGCTCCTTTGCCCAGCTGGGGTTCTACCTCAGATGTTCATGGCTGACATATGATAAGACCTGAGGCCTCCTATCTTACTTCCCATACCTGTCTGCATGTTTTTATTTTGGTTAAAGTTATATCGGGACTCCGTATATTCTCAAGGTTTACATTTTTTTTGCTTTTACATTATACTGCTATTAGTTTATATATTTATAGGTTTACCTCATACAACTAATAGGCGCACTTCAGGACCTTTGTCAGGTGTACAGGCTTTGAGGCTCCCCACCCATGCTCTGCCACTTCTTCCATTTAAGATTGCCCTGGTTACTGGCTGGTATGGCACAGGTACGGTGAGATTTTCTCACTCTCCTATAATCTCCTCTGCTGCCTCTCTCATATTTTAGTCTGCCCCTTTTAAGTCTTTCCCGTATACATGCTGCTACTTTTTGATTTGAGCAGAACAGTTTTATTCTTGTTTCCTTTCTCCAACCCCTGCCCTATACTTTTTCATCCACCAGATGGGAAACAGAAGTCTTCCCTGTGGTTTGACCTCTCCATCAACCACACTGCTTGTACTTACCTCTCTACTCTGTGGTGAATTTCTTGCTCACCCGTAACAACACTTACTCCTCCACATTACATCTTCCCATCTTCTAGCATTCTGATATCCTCAATCTGAATATTATCACTTAACTTTCATGGCCTTGCTACCCCACTAAAATGGAGATTGGTAGTTATTCACCGTAAGTGGAAGGCCCAGGTAGTCTTCCTTCAAGAGATCCCCAGATAAGAAATCAAGGGCGTGAGTGTCTTCTTAACTCACACTCAGGGGCGGACTGACAACTCATGGGGCCCCCGGGCAATAGGGGATCATGGGGCCCCTGTGTCCTTGCCCAAACTCAAAAAAGCCTATGAAAAAGGTGCCAGGGGCATCTCATGGGGCCCCCTAGTGACCCCGGGCCCTCGGGCAGTGCCCGAGTTTCCAAATGATCAGTCCGCTCCTGCTCACACTGTTTCTTGGACCCACATTGATACATATAGAGATACAAAGAGATGCTGTGTTTTCATTAAGGTCAAGCTATGCACATCATACAGTGACCTTGGTAATGTGTACTTACCCAACCAAAATAAAATCTTCTGCTTCAAAACCTTCTTAGATATTCTTTCTAATTTTATAGAAGGGATGTTAATTTTCCGAGGTGATTTTAATCTTGGGGGGTTGTCACTGCTGTACACAGAAGGTTTTTTCTACCTTCATGAATAGAATGCATGAAGGTGGAATACATTGAGCCTTTACAACCACTTTAAGCCCTGCTAGATCATATTATACTGGTCACTTTTGTGCAGGTATAGCTATGTAAAACATTAAAAATAAGTGCCTATACTGTTTAAAATCCAATATTACACTGTCTGACCCTGCTCTGAAAACGCTCAGCTGGTCTCTATTTTTCAGCACTTTGCCAAAAATGTAGTGATTGGTCTGCTGACAGCCTAAGGATTTACTACTGGTCAGGGGCTCTGGGCTTCAGCAAAATAGCAGCCTCCAACAAGCAGAAGCAGGGACAATGCTGGAGGCAATTTACAGCACACACTAATTTTAGTAGCATAATTATTAATGTGGAATGTATGTTCTTTGCTAAAGAACATAATTTTTAATCAATTTATTGTGGGTAAAATTCTGCTTTAACGCCCAAGCTCAATTTTGCAACATTGACAAACTACTTATTACTGCAACTACTTGGTGTATCCAGGGGGATTATATCTTCTTTTTTAAGGGCTGTTCTTGTCCAATTTTATTTAAAAGAAAGTTCCTTAAATCAAAATTATAGGGTTTCCCACGCAGGGGTTGTCAGCTTTTCTCTATCACAATGAAATGCACATGGAGCCTCCTGGCTTACACTTGCACCACTTCTCTGGCCTTACACTTTAGGTCTTTGTCTCCCACAGACCATCTTCCTACACAACTCTGTGCACACAGCTAGCAGCACTTTACTGCTCTGGCTCCCACCTCTCTCCTAGCAGGAGCCCTCCTAACTCCTGGCAATGACCTGCTGTCCGCCAGGGTGGAGCCCAGAACCATGAGCAGGTTATTACTAAAAGCCCAGCACACAACTGACGAATTACTGTGCTCGCTGTTCACAAATCCACCCAATACTGGAGATTGCATCCCACCCAGGGCATTTTTATTTTATTTTCAGCTCTGTGCTACTTTAACTGGCAATTTCTTGTCATGCAACACTGTACACAAGTTAAATACTGCTACAGGGTGGCAGGGCTGCTCAAAATCAAATGTGTATGTTTACGTGATTTTGTATTTCCAGGCAGGGGGCAAAAGCGCCCTACCTGCGCTGCCATTGGCAGCTACAGCTGTCGATCACCAGGACTGGAGATTCCTTGTCGGCACCCAGCGATCACTGAGTATCACTGACAGGGGAGAGGTCTGTATGTAAACAATACAGATTTCTGCCGTCAGCTCCAGCATGCTGCATAGTAGAGCAATACAAAACAGTATAGTAAAACACACACACAGCACACAGTTAACCCTTTGATCACCCCAGATGTTAACCCCTTCCTGCCCAGTGTCATTAGTACAGTGTCAGTGCTTTTTAATAGCACTGATCACTGTATTAGTGTCACTGGGGATGTCAGTGACAGTCAGTTCCCCCCCGTGTCAGAATGCCCGCTGCAGTCCCACTACAAGTCCCTGATCGCCGCCATTACTAGTATAAAAAAATCCAGTATATATACCACCATTTGTAGATGCTATAACTTTCATGTAAACCAATTAATTTACACGTATCTGGATTTTTTTAGTAAAGACATGGAGCACAATATATTTTGACCTAAATTTATGACAAAATTAGCTTTTTTAAAAAATTTTTACTGGATATATTTTATAGGAAACTGTCAAAATATTTTTTTTTTCAAAATTGTTGGTCTTTTTTGTTTATAGCACAATAAAGCTAAAAGGCGATCAAATACCACCAAAAGAAAGCTCATTTGTGGGAAACAAAGAACATAAATTTAATTTGGGTCAGCATTACATGACCGTGCAATTATCAGTTAACAACTTCAAGTCCAGACACTTTCACCCCCCGCCCAGTCCAGGCCAATTTTCAGCTTTCAGTGCTATCACACTTTGAATGACAATTGCGCGGTCATGCAACACTGTACCCAAATAAATTTTTTAGCATTTTTTTGGGGACAGATAAAACTTTATTTTGGTGGTATTTATTCACTACTGGGATTTTAATATTTTTGCTATATAAATGAAAAACATTTTGAAAAAAAGTGTTTCTTATAAAATTTTGCAAATAAATAATCTTTCTTCATACATCTTGGCCAAAATGTATTCATCTTTTTTTTTAGTACAAAAAAAATACATTTTTATTGTATTTTTTTACATTATTATTTTTTTTTTTGTTTTTTTTAACATAGTGTCACCCTAGCAGTACAGTGTCACCCTAGCAATACAGTGTCACCATAGTGACACTGTACTACTTATGGGAGCTGATGAAGAATTTTTTTCTCTTTTTTTTACCACTGATTGCTTTTACACCCGTAAAGGCTGTAAACACAATTATTTCTCCTTCTCTCTGGCTGCATTCTTGCAGCCATTGAGAAATACTGAGAGCTGTGACTTGTCACAGCTTGTCACATGGTACAAGGCTGTTGTGAATAACCTTATACCATGTGACCTCTGTGATCATTCACAGATTTAAAAAATTAGTAAGCAATGATGTCAGGAAGTGACATCTTGTTTACTATTATTCATGTGATCACTGATTGGACACAGAGGTCCCTTACAGTGATTGGTGTTCCACTGTGTCCTCCGGACACAGCGGGCACCGATCGTGGTTACGCAAAATCCCAGGGAGCGCGCACAGGCAATGGATGCAGGGGGACGTTTAAAACTCATTAATGTACATGGGCTGGACGGGAAGAAGTTAAAGTAACACAGCTCCGTATTTCAAAAAATGTCCTGGTCAGGAAAGGGGGTAAATCCTCTGGAGGGCAAGTCATTAATCACCACTGGGTTTTTTATTATTTGCTATATAAATGAAAAAATAACAAAAAAAGTTTGAAAAAGCACATTTGTCTTAGTTGCTGTTATAATGTTTTGCAAACAAATAATCTTTCTTCAAAAATTTAGACCAAAATGTAGTCTGCTACATTTCTTTGGTAAAAATAACCCAAATGATTGTATGTTTTGTCTGCGTGAAAAGTCTACAAACTATGGTATGTATCTTTTAAAAATTGATCAATCTTGACATACTGATGGCCTATCCCATTTCCTGAGGCCATAAAATACCAGGATAGAACAAATACCTCCAAATGACCCCTTTTTGGAAAGTAGACAGTCCAAGCTATTTTAAAGTTATTTTTCACAACCTATTTTACTTACTGTCACCAGTGAGTACATCATATGACTGATGGGGCAGTGATCAGCAATACTGACTGGCAGGACTTTTTTTTCTCAGAGAATAGTTACAGGAACTCCCCCCTTCTGAGTCACTTCTTGTCTCTGCCCTCTCCTACCCACCTTTGAGCACAGTCCCTTGGTTCCACCCCTTACCCACCTCCTGTTACTGCTCCCTATAGAGAATACAGAGTCCAGTATCATTTTGTGGCACTAAGTAACTTGTATGGAATTTGTTAATGATAATAGTAAAAGCCATAAACTCGACAGCAACAGTATATTCCCCCAGCAACAATGGACCCCCACAGCAAAATACCACCACAGCAACAATAGACCCTCAGCAGGAGAAAGGAGTTCCTAATTCCGCTACATAGATCTTTAGTTATCATTAGAGGGATCACCAGCAGGAGAAGGGAGGTCCTGATTCCTCTATATAGATCTTTATCACTAGAGGAATCACCAGAAGAAGGAAAATGGTGGTGATTCCCCTATATAGATCTTTAGTGAGACCTGTGTCCAATTCTGGAGACCTCGCTTCCAAAAAGATATTGAAAAGATAGAACAAATCCTGCTCACCACAGAAATCCAACCCTTCACGCTCTACCGATGGTCAACTCAGCATCCACAAACAAGGGCGCTTCTCGTCTCCAGGCCCATCACCGCAAGCCACCATGGACTGAACCGCGTCCATCAACTCCTCTTCTGCCACATACACCAGTCTGTGCAGCTTTTAGCCAGCGTTGATGCTATCACTCATGGTACCTTTTTCCCCTTCTTTTTTCTTTCTTTTTTCTTTCTTTTCCCCGCCTCACACTCAGATTCGGACGTTGTATACCCTTCTGTTAGCCCCCAAAGCTTATTATACCCTTTCTCTCTCTTTTTTGATATATGTGCTGGGAAGATCCCCCCCCCCCCCCCTTTTTTTTTTGGTTTTCCCACAAGTTGTTGGTTATGTTAACTTTTGAACTTTTGTTTCTTTTATTTCCTTGAGAGCTTATTGAACTTATTATTATACCGTTATTGATATTAGTTCACCGAGGTTGTATTTCGGATCATATATGGAAACCTTAGCTCTGGCGGCATGGGATACGACATCTTCACATCCCTATTGGTCCACCCGTGCAACCACTGCCGCCTGGGCTTAGGACCCCCTGAATTTTTCTAGAAAGTTTTTTTTGCCTGCTCTTCTCCCGGGATCCTATTACTGTATACCTATTTTTATGCTGTCATCCCCACGGACCGCGTATCTGTGCATCCTCCATTAGCCCCTGTGCTGTTGACCATTTAATAGCACTTGGGCTATTACTGCTCCCTGGACCTCCCTGATTTCGGATGTCCCCGGGGACCGCCTTTCAGACCTAGAATTGCCCCTCACACCCTTTTCCTGATACCTTTCTCTAATCGTATTCCCCCTCCCTCCCCTTCACATGACTCCATGACCTCACACAACCTATGTAATCTACCTGTCTTACACAGTGACCACCAGGCTCCCGCTCAGCTGGCGATACCTTATTACCTAAAGCACTATACACTCTCCCCATGAGCTCGTTAAATATCCTCACCCTGAACGTTCAGGGTCTCAACATACCACAGAAACGTAACAAAGTCTTCCACTCTTTTGCATCACTTAAAGCTCATGTAGTCTGCCTGCAAGAGACACACTACACCCCCAATTCTACTCCCAAGTTCTTTGGCCCCCGTTGCCCTCAGGTCTACACGGCTTCAGCCTGAGCCAAATGCAGAGGGGTGCTCATCGCCTTCCACCGCACAACACCCTTTTACCCTAAGTAATGAAATCAAAGACCCAGAGGGTCACTATCTCCTGCTAGTAGGACAACTCTTAGATATAAACGTCACCATTGCTACCTATTACGCCCCGAACCAAGGTCCCCTACCATTCCTCTCCCACTTACTGTCGGTTATAGATCACCACAAGCGAGGTACTTTGCTTGTCTGTGGAGACTCAAATTGTACATTATATCCTTTTCTTGACAAATCTCCTCAACCTTCCCCCCTTCCTACCTCCAGGCAAACCCTCCAAGCCATACTACAGCGTCATTCTATGATAGATACCTGGAGGGAACTTAATCCAGTTAAACGCCAATACACTTTCTACTCTCACCCTCATAAGACCTTCTCTAGAATAGATCACATTCTCCTGTCAGCTCCTCTCCCCGGCTCTTGACCTCTGAAATACTTCCGATCCCTTGGTCAGATCATAGCGCCGTACTTACATCCATGGCCTCCCTAGCCCCTTCTCCTACTGATCCCTCCTGGATCATTAATGACAATCTACTGGCAAATCCAACCCACTGCTCAGAAATCGAGGCCGCTCTCAAAGATTACTTATCTCTAAACCAAACACCTGAAATTTCTCCCCTCCTATTATGGGAAGCGCATAAACCAGTTCTACAAGGTTTCTGCATTAGCAAAGCATCCTTTTTAAATAAGGTAAAACGACAGCAACGTCTCTCTCTTGCGCAAACTTACAACCAATCCCATCAAGCCTTCCAAGCGACCCCTACATCAGCCAATCGTGAAGCTCTAGAACGATGTCGATTAGCTCTTGATCTTTTCCTCACAGACCAGGCAGAGCTCTCACTTCGTAGATCCAGACAAATACTATACAAAAGCAAATAAACCCAGTACCTTTTTAGCTCTATCGCTTCGCAGGCTTGATCAGATAACTAGACCTATTAGAATACGCACCTCATCTGGCAATCTCACTAGTAATCCAGAACGCATCCTACACATTTTTCACAAACATCTTTCACAACTTTATTCTCTCTCCACACCCTTCGACCCCTCCTAGGCAGACACCCTCCTGACCTCCATCTCCTTCCCGAAACTTTCGGAGCACCAACTGGCAGCATTAGAACAACCTATCACCCAAACCGAAACCTTAAACGCTATTAAGTATTTAAAGCTTCGTAAACGCCCAGGACCAGATGGCTTTTCCACCACATACTACAAAAAATTTGCCCATCTCCTCATGCCCATCCCTACTAATGCTTTTAATGCCGTACTATCGGGCCATACCTTCAACCTAGAAAAAGTACAAGCTAACATCTCAATGATCCCAAAACCAAACTCCGATGACACGCAATGGTCCAATTACAGGCCAATCTCTCTTCTCAACATTGATATCAAACTACTAGCCAAAATTCTTTCCACGCGCCTTAATTTGTATATAGGCTCTCTAATTCATAATGACCAAGTGGGCTTTATTCCGACTCGACAAGCCGGAGATAACGTCAGACGCAAAACTATCTTGGCACATATTGCTAAATCGCGCAACATTCCTGCCGGTTTCCTGTCCTTAGACATCCGGAAAGCATTTGATACAGTTTCATGGCCATACCTGCACTACATTCTATGCTGTTGGGGCTTTGGCCCTCACTTCTTAACCTGGATCTTCTCACTATATCAAGAGCCCTCAGCTAGAATTAGATACCTAGGACACAGGTCTGCTCAATTTCCAATTTCCCGTGGCACGAGACAGGGCTGCCCCCTCTCTCCTTTACTCTTTGCTTTGGCCATAGAACCATTGGCCCTTCTAATTAGAGCTAATCCGGATGTCCGGGGACTTGAGATACAGTTGTGTCCAAAATTATTCAACCCCCACTGAAATTGAGTGTTTTGGCCAGTTTGACATTGCTTTTGATCATTCAGTCATCTTGCTTACATTTACATTAAAGAGGCACTTGTAGGTCAGACAAATATAACATAACAGTTATAATGAAATAACCACAAATGTCTTTTCTGTGCTCACAGCATTATCAGTTTTATTCAACCCCCAAGTGACATTCAATCTTAGTACTTAGTACAGCATCCTTTTACAGTTATAACAGCTTTTAAACGTGAAGCATAGCTTGACACAAGTGTCTTGCAGCGATCTACGGGTATCTTCGCCCATTCTTCATGGGCAAAGGCCTCCAGTTCAGTCACATTCTTAGGCTTGCGCACTGCAACTGCTTTCTTTAAGTCCCACCAGAGGTTCTCAATCGGATTTAAGTCTGGTGACTGCGATGGCCACTCCAAAATGTTCCAGCCTTTCCTCTGCAACCATGCTCTAGTGGACTTGGAGGTATGCTTGGGATCATTGTCCTGTTGAAAGGTCCAACGTCTCCCAAGCCTCAGGTGTGTGACGGACTGCATCACGTTTCCATCCAATATCTCCTGGTACTGAAGAGAATTCATGGTACCTTGCACACGCTGAAGCTTCCCTGTACCTGCAGAAGCAAAACAGCCCCAAAGCATGATTGACCCTCCACCATGCTTCACAGTAGGCAAGGTGTTCTTTTCATCATAGGCCTTGTTCTTCCTCCTCCAAACATAGCGTTGATCCATGGGCCCAAACAGTTCTAATTTTGTTTCATCAGTCCACAGAACACTATCCCACAACTTTTGTGGTTTGTCCACATGGCTTTTGGCATACTGCAGTCGACTCTTCTTATTCTTTGGAGACAGCAAGGGGGTACGCCTGGGAGTTCTGGCACGGAGGCCTTCATTACGCAGTGTGCGTCTTATTGTCTGGGCTGAAACTTCTGTACCCACATCTGACAAATCTTTTCTCAGTTCCTCAGCAGTCACACGGGGACTTCTCTCCACTCTACGCTTCAGGTAGCGCACAGCAGTCGAAGTCAGCATCTTCTTTCTGCCACGACCAGGTAGCGTTTCAACAGTGCCCTTTGCCTTGAATTTGCGAATGATGCTTCCTAAGGTGTCTCTTGGTATGTTTAACATCTTTGCAATCTTCTTATAGCCATTGCCCTTCCTGTGAAGAGAAATCACCTCTTCTCTTGTCTTCCTGGACCATTCTCTTGCCTTCACCATGTTTGTAACCACACCAGTAAATGTCTAGAAGGAGCTGAGTATCACAGTCATTTTAAAGCTGCCTAATTGGTGCTTATTATGCTTGATTGCTGCTCGGTGACATCCACAGGTGTTTTCAATACCTGATGGAAAGCACCTGTATGAACCTCTGTTCTTCAGAGTGGTAGTCTTTAAGGGGTTGAATAATTGTGGCAATGAAGAAACCACATAAGAACCATTTACTACTGTATTACATAAACAATTGATGTCATTTTAGTTGCATTTGGGTAGTTACAACGTCCTTGTAGGATTTGATTCTGAATACAATTCCAAATGTACACTATAGTCCCTAAACCCCTTTACAGCATTGGGGGTTGAATAATTTTGGACACAACTGTAGGTGGCTTTCATCACAAGTTATGCCTCTTTGCGGATGACGTCCTACTTTTTTTCACTTCTCCCTTGACTTCCTCTCCTTCTCTCCTCCGGCTTCTCGAGAGGTTTGGCTCACTCTCTGGCCTTATAATAAATCCACACAAATCAATGGCACTTAACATCTCCCTCCCCCCTACAGAATTGGCCCACCTGAAACTGATTCTTCCATTTCCCTGGTCACACCATATTCCTTTTTTGGGAATCAAACTGACCCCCAACATATCAGATCTTTATGCAGCTAACTATACCCCAATGCTAACCCATCTCATTGCTCTTATGACCAAATGGTCCTCCCTACCACTCGTGTGGCTAGGCAGAATTGCAGTCGTAAAGATGTTGATCCTCCCCAAAATTTTATACTTATTCAGAGTTCTCCCAATCCCAGTACCCTCCAATTACCTTTGCATATTACAACGTCACATTTTCTCCTATGTCTGGGGCACTGTCCGCCTATGCATACCCCGCTCCACCTTACACCGCTCCAAGCTCAATGGTGATCTTGGTCTCCCCAATATCGGCAAGTATTACCAGGCAGCACACTTAGCACAGCTGCCAAAATACCATGCGACTTACGAAATCCCTCAATGGGTTGTCCTTGAATCCATAGAATGTGATTCCTTATCCATTGCCAACTTACTTTGGTTAAGGCCAATAGACCGCCGCTCGATAACTAATCCCATCACCTCTCACTTTTTATCAATATGGGACAAACTGAAATCTCGCTATCTCCTTCAATCATTACATAACCCCTTGCTCTCATATCTCCAGAACCCAGCCTTTCCCCCAGCATGGTTATCGCCACACTCATTCAATATATGGACCTCTGCTAACCTGCTCCGCACCCATCATTTTCTCCAGAAGAACAAGTTTAAATCCTTCGCCTCATTACGAGAAACATATAGCCTCCCGGCTTCCGAAATATTCAGATACTTGCAACTACAACACTTTTATGCTCCCTACACAATAATAACTAACCACCCTTACACCATGTCTCCCTTTGAACGGGCTTGCCATAAAGACCCCCATAGATGCGGCCCTATCTCCTGCCTATATTCCCTTCTCACAACTTCGGCCACCACATCCCCTCCTTCATATACCCACAGGTGGGAAACGGACCTAGATAGGTAATTTGACCCATCTGATTGGGACCACATCTGGGCCAACACGATATCGTCCTCTCAGAATATTATAGCCTTGAAAACCAACTATAAAGTTTTAACTCGTTGGTATTTAGTCCCAACGAGAATTGCAAAATACACCCCTAACTACTCCCCCAATTGCTTTAAAGGCTGTCCCGAACCGGGAACACATTACATTTGGTGGGACTGCCCATTAGCTCAAGCCTTCTGGGCTGATGTTTTTAACATGCTATCCAAACTCAGCACAATCACGATCCCACCTTCTCCGATAACAGCTCTACTTAACCTACGCCCTCCTAGCATAACCAATTCAAACTCATCCTACAAGTCACCACAGCAGCCAAGCAGGTCATAGCAAAATCCTGGAAATCCTCCTCTCTAAGCATTGCTGCTGTTAAAACTAGAGTAACACAAGCCATGATACATGCAAAGGTGGAAGCCACAATCCTAGATACTATTCCCAAATTTTTGGCTCTTTGGAACCCTTGGGTAGAGTGTTTTCTCCCGACAAATTTTGACGAATCACTTCTTCTTCCTTGATATGCAAACTTTAGACACTATTCTGGTACCACATCACACTGTGCACACGTATTACCATATTCTTCCCTGCCTATCGTGGAGTCATTCTTCTCGACCTTCTTACCTTCCCCCCCCGCCCCCATCCTCCCCTGTTTACCCTTACCCTCCACGCAGCTCTGGAGAGTCTTTACCCCCACTAGTCAAACTCTTACTGATATTTTATTACCTTCTGCTAACAATTTTCACTCCTTTGATACCATAAGAAATGCTACATTGTTTTCTTGACTTTCTCTCCCCCTCATTATACAGACATTGATACTGTGATTATTGTTTCCTGTGTTTCGCTACCACTGTAATGTCTATTGTTTACTGGTAATATATCCCTCCCTATTTTACAATTTCAATAAAATGTTTGAACAAGAAAAGATGGAACGAGTCCAGCGACAGGACAGGGGAAATGACTGAAACATCAAAGGGATGAATAAGGTTTAAGAGGACAGTATTTTCAATACGAAGCCAAGATCAAGAACACAGAGACATGACTTTAACTAGTATGATGAAAGCTTAAAACTAGCCTTAGAAAATTCCAGCAGACGTAGTGGGGTTTATTTACTAAAGCTTCCAGGTTTCATTGCCAAAGCTTCATTGAACAAGCTGAGGTTAGAAGCTGATTGGTTTCTATGCAGAAGGGAGTCTAATTTTGGACTCTCCAGCTTTAGTAAATAAACCCCAGTGTGTCAGTCAATTGTGAGTTAATTTAAACATAAACATAGATCTGTATTCGGTCAAAGAATTAAAAATAAAAAAGGAGCAGACTCGATGGATCACATGGGTTTTTTTTGCCATCAATCTTCTATGTTTCTTTGTATTTTTAAAAGCAAACTTCTTAAGGAAGATCTTATATGTTCTTAAAAAAAAAAAGAAAGAAAATCACTTCTGAATAAAAAAGCAGTTCAAAAGTTATTTAGTAAACTGCTGCATATCAAAATTTCAAAATTTGATTGGTCACAAAGGTTTATATTACAAATGTTCAGGAAAAGGTTAAAATGTGGTTGTAAATGTTTTCTAGTTACTAGTGAAATAGATGAGATTATAGGAGGTTATAAACAGGAGAATCTGGTTTTTTACTGCAATGAGCAATCAGAACTTCATATGTCCTTTATATCACCTGACTTGACCATCCGCTATTCAGTGTCAGGGGATCTTCCTTTTACCTCCTATGAGCACAGAGCTCTTATTAGCAGAGATAAATAAAATATCAGATAAAAATGATCCAATCACTAGCAATGCTGATTCTGGCCTCAACCTGTCTACTGATAGGATTCATGCCCCATACACAAGGAGATTATAGCACAATACGAGTCGTGTCCGTGGTATTCTGTGGTCATCCTGTTTATAGAGATATCACCGTCTCTACACATGGATGACAATATTGGGGTGTCTACTCCATTATAACACTGTTCTTATAATGCTATATACTGGAGTTTTATAAAGTGAATATAAATGATTCCAATTAAAAGAAATTAGTTCCATTCATGTAGAGAATAGTTACATTCATTCCGGGGGGAGAAATTAATTTTCTGCTGGTAACATTCTTCTCTTCTTCTACAGTTTGATGTATAATCACCTGACAGACAGTTCCTGCCCCCACCTGGCTTCTGGAATAAGAAATAACCAGACACTGAGGACACTGAACCTGTCTGAGAACAATCTGGAGGGTCCTCATTTCAGTGATCTGATGGCAGCTCTGACAACAAGCCGGATAGAGGAATTACAGTGAGTATAACAAGACTGACTGAGACAATATTATGGGACAGTTTTTATATATAAACCACATAAAAAAAAATGACAATGTCATCGACATGCATCTTATGACTCCATAATTATACAATCTGGGATTGTTGTCTAATTCTTGGATCTTATCACACTCTGTTATCAGCCATGAAATAATCTTTTCCTAAGGCCCTATTCACATCTGACCATAGTAGAAATGTGGACAGAAATGTGCATTTCTGCCTATGTTTCTTCACATGAGGGAAAAACACTCTAAAATGCATGACACACTTGTGGTGCCATTATTCCTTAATGACGCCGCTCGGATGTGAACAGGGCCATAGAATGTGTTAACCCCTTCCCTTCACATCTGCTATCTGTGAATGAACATTCTTCTAGACAGTGCCCACTCTGAGAGAACCTTTCTAAACATTTAAAATTTGCAGTTGCTGCACCCTTTGGAGATCATTCCATACCATATGGGGGAGTTACAGACTGTCTTGAGGGGCTGGAATATTTGATCTGTAATCACTCAGGGTGATTACAGGTCATATTCTGGTATTGGTTAACCCTTTCTCAGCCATCATAGCTATGGTTGGGCACCAATGTAGTTGAAAGAGAGTAAGCTGTGCGAGAGCTTGAGGATCTTGTAGGTGGGGCAGCAATTCACACAGTCAGGTGCAATGAGAAACTTGTATTGAAGTAATGCAGCAACAGTCACAACAAACCCACTGGGAAGGCTGCCCAACCAGGTGTACTCATATTTTCCAGCAGCATGAATAGAGCACGAATAGAGCAGCTGGACTGACAGTATCTGTTAAGAGCTCTGCCCTCTGGGCCTGGTATGGATTTTAAAGGAAACCCCATGCCAAAAACAGCGTGGGCCCTCCAAAACCCATACCAGACCCTTATCTGAGCCTACAGGTCAGGAAAGGGGGGGACGAGGAAGCACCCCTTTTTTCTGAACCAAACCATGTGACCTTAACTTGGGGGGGTGGGCTTTAAGGCATTGGGTCTCTCCCTCCCCAAAAGCACATTGTCCCCATGTTGATGAGGACAGGGGCCTCTTCCTCAAATCCATAGGCTGTGGTTGTGGGGGTCTGTGGGTGGGGGGCTTATTGGAATCTGGAAATCACCTTTAACAAGGGGGGCCCTAGATCCTGACCGCCCTGAGTGAATGAGTATGGGGTACTCATTCACCAAAAAAAGTTGTAAAAGTGAGAAAAAAGAGTTTTTGACAAGTCCTTTATTCAACCCCCCTCCAAAATTTAAAATATTCCCTGAAGTAGATCCAATGTCAATCATGATGAGCGTCGACCCCCCTCAAAAAAAAAAAAAAGAGGCCTTCCCCTGATGCTGGCTCTGCAGCCTCCAGTAGGGCCATACTCATTCGCATAGGGGGGGTCAGGATCTGGAGGCCCCCTTCAAGATTCTGATAAGCCCCCGCCTGCAGATATTCAATATCAATGGGGCTGCCCCTTCACATTGATTATTTCTCGCAATGGCACCACTTATTTTGCAAGAAGGTGAGAAAATTCGGGATAAATTAGACTCTTTTGGAGGCTGATGTAATCACCAGACCATCTTCTACGTTATGGCCCTCTCCAATTTGGAATACACCATGTTCTATATGTGAAAGAAGAAGAGTTTATCGTGATGCTGGCTGCTTTTTTCTTTTATTTTAATGCTACAAGGCATTTATAACTGACTGGGTAGACTAATAAGACACTTCTCAGACTGGATCAAATTTTGGTTGTTTGTGTTCCATCTTTCCAGGTTTTTCTTCAGGTTTCATTTTTATTTACCTGATACTAACTTTTTGTTTTTGTTGGTTTACTTAATTGTAATGGTCTTTTTTTAAAGGCCTTATAATATGTTTTATATGGTTTTCTTACATTTATTTGAAGCCATCACTTTGGGTTTACTTGAGGCCTACACTATGTTATGCAAATATTGGTTTGCTACCTACTGGTTGTCTCATGTTCAGATGGCTGCTCTTCTTCTCTTGGATTTTGCCCTTCTTTTTTATATTTTTCTTGCTTGGTACAGGCACTGTGAGGGTTTCCACTTTTCTTCTTCCTTGTATGTACAGTTGTGTTCAGACATCACTAACCCGATCAATCACTGTTTTTGGTAGAAATTATATTTCTACATGGCAACTAATTTACTAGCAGGTGTAGTGGAGTTATAGAAATCCAACAGACCCAACAGTCATGACATGCATGCTGCTGATTCTGTGTAATTGAAAGGGGCATGTTCAAAATAATAGCAGTGTGGAGTTCTATTAGTGAGGTCATTCATTCTTTGAAAAACAGGTGGCAATTATTGCCCTTATTTAAGGAAGGAAGGCAGCAAATGTTGTACATGCTGGTTACAGTGCATTTCTCTCTGAAATTCTGAGGAAAATGGGTCGTTCCAGACATTGTTCAGAAGAACAGCGTACCTTGATTAAAAAGTTGATTGAAGAGGGGAAAACATATAAAGTGCAGAAAATAATAGGCTGCTCAGCTAAAATGATCGCAAATGCTTTAAAATGGCAACCAAAACTTGGAAGACGTGGAAGAAAGCGAAAAACTACCATTCGAATGGATCAAAGAATAGCCAAAATGGCAAGGACTCAGCCAACAATCAGCTCCAGGAAGATCAAAGAAGGTGTAAAGTTACCTGTGAGTACTGTTACAATTAGAAGATGCCTATGTGAAGCCAAGCTATCTGCAAGAAGCCCCCGCAAAGTCCCACTGTTGAAAAAAAGACGTGCTGAAGAGGTTACAATTTGCCAAAGAGCACATTGACTGGCCTAAAGAGAAATGCGCAACATTTTGTGGACTGATGAAAGTAAGGTTGTTCTTTTTGGGTCTAGTGGGCGGAGACAGTTTGTCAGACGACCCCCAAACACTGAATTCAAGCCCCAGTACACTGTGAAGACAGTGAAGCATGGTTACGCAAGCATCATGATATGGGGATGTTTCTCATACTACGGTGTTGGGCCTATTTATCGCATACCAGGGATCATGGATCAGTTTGAATACATCAGAATACTTGAAGAGGTCATGCTGCCTTATACTGTAGAGTAAATGCCCTTGAAATGGGTGTTCCAACAAGACAACGACCCCAAACACACCAGTAAACGTGCAACATCTTGGTTCCAGACCAACAAGATTGACGTTATGGAGTGGCCAGCCCAATCCCCGGATCTTAATCCAATAGAAAACTTGTGGGGTGACATCAAAAATGCAGTTTCTGAGGCCAAACCAAGAAATAGAGAAGAACTGTGGAATGTAGTCCAATCATCCTGGGCTGGAATACCTGTTCACAGGTGCCAGAAGTTTGGTGACTCCATGCAACACAGATGTACAGCAGTTCTCAGAAACAGTGCTTATACAACAAAATATTAAGTGATTCAAAGGAAAGCAAAATCTTCAAACGTTTTTCAGTTTATATAGTGAATGTTTGAGTTTGTAAAGAAGAATACAAACACTGCTATTTTTTTGAACAATCTAATATTCACTTTTCTTCAATTATTTTAGAGGAACAACACAAATTTGATATATTTTTCTTCATGTTTTGATTTGGAATAGAATGTGTAGTGTTCCCAATGCATTTGTGTGTATGGAAATAAAAGCTATTAGAAGGATTTTGAGCTTTATTCACTTTTTTCAACACACTGCTATTATTTTGAACACAACTGTATATGGTATTTTTCTTTACTTACATGACCATTACCTGTATATCCCATATGGTCAGGCTTTTTACATTAGAAACGCCTGGGAGCTAAGGTTATTTTATTGCAGGAAACCCACTTTGCTTCATCCAACCACTGTTTTCACAAAGAATGTAACCAGGTTTTTTTTACACCCTATTTAATGGGCATGTCTATAGAAACCTGGAAAAGAGATTTTTTTAATTTTTAAAGGGTTGACTACTGGTCACGAGGTTACTTTTGCCAGCGTTTATGCACCTTATGATTCTCAGGCTGCTTTTTTTCCTAATTTTTTTCACTTCTAGAACACTATTACTCTCTTTTTTCTGTTCATAGTATTTTCCATCATACCAAAAATAGTTTTTATTCATACTAAACTCTAATAATTGAATAATAAATTTTCTCTGTTTAATGTGTAATTCCGTGTAATTCTTTAGTGCCCATTTGATCGCTCTAACCCCATCATCATGTTTTTATACTGGTATAGTGCGAATTCACATCTATAGTAACCAGAAAAGAATCAGCTAAAGATGGGAAAATAGTGAATGATAAGGAGGGTAAATATCTTTTCCCTTCACACTGTAAAACACCTATAATCTATTTACCTAAACTGCATAAGAGTTTAATTAAACCTCCTGGAAGACCTATCATTAATGAGATAGGATCAATACATTCCAGGGTAGGTGAATATATAGATTTTTTTTCTTGCAAACAGTAGTTAAATTGATGGCATCTTATCTTAGAGATGGACAGGATATTATCAATTTAATTGAAAATATGACGGTATCACATGAGGTTTTTCTGGTTACTATAGATGTCAGTTTGCTCTATACCAGTATAAAATATGATGATGGGGTTAGAGCGATAAAATGGACACTAAAGAATTACACGGAATTACATATTAAACAGAGAACATTTATTATTCAATTATTAGAGTTTTAGTATGAATAAAAACTATTTTTGGTATGATGGAGACCACTACGAACAGAAAAAAGGCGTAGCCATAGGCGCAACATTTGCGCCCAGTTTGGCAAATATTTTCTTCTCAAAATGGGAACATACAGAAATGTTTAGGAGAGAATGGATAGGTTTAAAACTTTGGAGAAGGTATATTGATGACATTATGATGATATGGGAAGGCCCTTTAGATTCAACATATTGAGGAGAACCAATATGATTTGGGGTTTAGCTATAATATAGATACAGAATCGGTAAATTTTTGGGATTTAAGTATTTTTAAATATAAGAATAAGTTATACACTAAGACATATTTTAAGGAAACAGACAGAAATGGGTATATATTATAACCTGTAGCT